CCCCACAACCTCTAATCAAGACAGCAAGAGTCCTGTAGCACTTTTTTCCCCCTGAAACATACTTAAGTGTATTTATGCATGAGGGAACCTGGTGCCCAACAAGAGCAACTAGCATTTGTATTTCTGATTTAAAACATTTTAATATATTCATATGTTGTGCTGGAAACTAACCGCTAGTTTTTCTTCCTGTTCCTCTCCTTTCTGCATATCCACATCCCATTGCTGAAATAAAGTCAGGAACTGCTGAGAATACTCATGGTTCAGCTTCTGTCTAAAAATATATCTTGCAATTACTATTGTGATTAGCAGTGTAAAACTGAAATATCAGTTAAAATAAATATAGAGCCACTAACGCCAGATGGATTTGTTTTTTTAATCTGTACTGGAATGATATCACTTATGTAGGATTAAAAGATTCAATGTCCAAGTACGTGTTTATTTGATTGGGAGGCCGACTGGGAATAAAAAAGAAGTCTTTTATTTTCTATAAATTGAGTATGTAAGCCTGCATAACTACGTCTACCAATATGCTGGAAATAGCATACGTAAAAAAATAAGCTATTTGGCTGTTGAAAAAGATGACATTTGACTATAAGTGTATTTGACCAAAAAAACCCTATTTTAGAAATGTCTGATTTATATAATATTTAATGCCACGTTTCATCTCTTTCTGTCTTTAAGGCCAGTATCAGTAACTAAACATTCCTCCAAGTGGAGGAAAAAATCCTACATGTCATTTATCACTGAAAAGTTAGATAAAATTACATTTTTTCAATAAATAGTAATTTTCAATTTTTGAGAGGAAATTTGAAATGGAAAATGTTTATGGGAAAAAATCAGATTAAATAAACTAGAAATTATTGATTAAAATAAAAATGTTCTGAAAAATTAACACTGACTGAAGTCAATTTTCATCAAAACGAAACATAACAGATGGCTATACTAGTCAGTTTGCTCACAAACTCTGACATTTTATATTTCTGTTACTGAAGAGAGAGTGTTGAGGTGAGTTGTTTCTGTGGATTTGAAAAGAAGTGACAGAATTGGAGACAAAAAACCAGAAGTGCTTGAACAGAAGTGTCTGGGTAGAAAGTTCTTTGTTGCCAAAACAGATCTAACAAGTGTATGATGCTATAGCAGATACTGTGATCCAGAAAAAATACATAATTACATCTTACACTTTTCCCCTGTATTAAATGTAAATACTACCTTTGTTCCTGCTGTGTTTTCCAAACATGTTCAATTTTCTGGTTGCTGGTTTTGAGAGAAGCCTTAGTATACATTTCTAGTCTCTTCTTTTTAGCCTGGAGAGCCTTGTTAATATCAGCTGAAATAGATGAAAAATAATTGTAAATTGTATTATGCATATATTTGAATTTTAAAACAGCACATTAGTGCAAATGTTATCAATTACATTTAGGAAAAGCATTCACAATGCTTTGTAACTGAAGAAGTGTACAATAACTTTGGCACTTAAAAAATATTTTTATAAAAGTTTCATCAACCCAAGAACTTTTTGAGGCATACTTATTTTAATAACTTGGAGATGGGTTGTAATACATTAACAAAGTAATGGTTTATCAACATTGCTAAAATATTAAATGAATAGAAGAAGTAAACTTTTATTCTTCAGATAATGACATTCTGTATAGGGACAGCTTGAACTGCTACTTTATAATAAAATGTTTGTTTAGATGCATTTTAATGTTATAAGCATCTTAAGTGGGCCAACCTACAACATAAGTACCATAGACCATAAAACTATGTGTGGCATGTGGCAGATTAGGGAGGGGACAGGCAGCACAGCTGCAGATAGGACAAGAAGCAGCAAATTGGGCAGAGAGCACAGGGCTGGGAGCAGAAAGCAGAGCAGCAGACTGGGTAGGGGAAGGGGATCAAAGTGGCATTTGGGGAGGGTATGGGACTAACTTGTGGCATGCCTGTCAAAAGGTTGTCCCCTACTGCCAGCTACTTTTTCTCTTCTGCTATCAGTATCAACATAAAGGATACATCTGCCAACTTTTTACTGTCCTTACATTTTATTTGACGTCTTCTTGCTAGCTTCAGTTCTATTATTTTTGTACAGATAACATTCTCTTTCTCTGATCCCTCCATAACCTATCCTTTTACCTATCTTGAGGCTTGAGTAATTTATTCTAACTTATTTATATGAAGCCTGAAATCCTCCTCTTACCAAAGCTGCTGTGACTAGGATAGCATTCTTATATTTCCTCCAAAGCAAGACATTTAGACACTCTTAACATTTTGAATTAACAAAGTTCTTTAAGATCCATTTTATGCCTTGGAGTCCACATACATGCAAAAACAAGACATCTACTTCTGTTATAAAACTAAAAATATTATTCAGCCAATTATTGAGTAGGTGAGTTATCTTGTTATTGTGACTCATCTTTCCTTCTTCCTCCCCCCACCACTACTTTTTGCCCCTCTGTGTGTTGTACAAAAATTCATAACATAAGTATGAACTGTGAGTTAGCAAGTGTTCTAGCTACTACACCAAATAAGTCTCTCTCAAACTGTCTCCGCACGATTGCTATTATTCATCCTTATTCTTTGATGCTCTCAGAAATTAAATCTTGTATGACAACCACTTTATTACTGATAATTGCCTTTCCTAGTTTTTAGTGTTCCTAAACCCTGCAGTCAGACTATTTTCTTGTTCACTCACACTATGACCATTCATTATTTGTCTCAAAAATCCCTTTCTGATTTTTGAAGGATTTGCTCAACATTACTACTTGCTCTACATCTATGCAAGTCCCTAT